GTAGCTAAGTGCGCTTTCGCCGGAAACGTGTTGCTTTACTTTTATTTTATTTCACCTGACATGTTTGGGTTACAGTAAGGCAGTACCTCTATTTGTGCTAAAGGTTTGTACTATGACAGCATTCAAAACGACATTGGAGCAGAGCGTGCGTTTCTTGAAGCCAACCGCTTAAATGCGGCAACTTCGTCTTCTATTGAGCTGACGGCCCCAGTAGATGTACCGGCCGAGGTTGAAGGTTCTGTTTCAGAAACTGTAGCTGAGGAACTTGCCGGAGAAGGGGCACCTGGAATTGCTGTGTCTGAGGACCAGAAAGTGCCTGAGGTCCATGGTATGTAGAAGGGTCCTTTGACGTCGTTTGCTAGTTTGCTATTGCTCCTTTTTTCGTTTGTTTTGTTTTTGTATTTTTGCTTGCTTTATCCTAGTAATAGAACATTTAGTCGCTAGTATTGCGCACATTGAGGGTAAAGATTAAAAAACTTAAACCATGTATATGAATCGACAAAATGCCATTTTTCACAAGACAATAAACTCCCAACAGCTTGACTAGCTATGGTAAGCATTTTTTCCAAAACAAAATCGATTAAAAAAAAGTTGATAAACAGCCTTCATTAGCCAGAATTTTTGTCTAGTAAACGACAAACTTACAGGCTGTTTCACACCGCTAACATCTAAATATCTGAATCTAACATCCGAACTATTGTCCACGGCTCTTCATGGGCAACGCTAAGAGCACACTAAGCAACGCCGTATCGCGTGAAAGTGGAGGTGTATACTTATATCTCACTTAACAATGACGTGCGGCAAGAAGTAATAGGCGAGCAGTTAAACGTGGCACATGCGCAAGGGAATCCATTTTGGCTGGTTTGTGTTTATGTCTGTACTCTCGAAAAACAACTTGGAATTGAGAGTCCAAATACATCATTACAGTGTTCGCACACGTGTAGACGTTTAATGGCTACGTTGTCGTATTACGCGAGAGAGGAGTATAAACCTTGTAGCCTCCCTTTTTAAGGTGACACGGTGATGTGCATAGTGGTGGGCCGCGATGTTTAAATGGGAGCTTCAGCAAGGTCTGAGGGTAGAATACTCGTCGGAGACAAGTAATAACAACTTTCTTTCCACTACGACCGAGATCAAGACTCGCCAGTTTACTTGACAAAAAAATATGAATAATGTTTGGAAAAGTTATCTTTGTTTTTCTTTAGTTGATGATGTACTGCGTGAGGAGCCTGGGTCAGCGAGTGGAGAAACTACCGCC